ATGCTAAAATAATCATAACCCGCTTCCGCGTGTATTACGATTCTAATACTCTAGATTCAATTACTATATTCCTATGCAATTAATTCTAGAACACAACATTAAGCACAAATCTCAATAATGGCTACCTAAGAGATTAAATATATTCCTATGTTAATACCACAAAGGCTCTTCTACCACAGTTCTAATTATTAACCCGATCTTCCGATTCATGCGATTAACAATAACATAAAAGCACATAAGGTGATCAAATTCATGCACTTAATAAAACAAGTAGAAGAAATAATCCGGAATTAAAACTTGCATAAAATCATAGAAAAGGGTTCATAAATCCCACATAGGGTTCCAAATAAAATCCTAGAAATAAGAAATTAGCTACTCATGATTAAAGGAAAAACGCAAATAAAATAAGTCATAAACGATAAATCTGTGCTTAGAGTCTTCGAATTCTTCGTCTTCGTTATTGCTTTGTTGCTCTTGAAATTGCGTAAAAAGATTCATCCCCAATTGTGTGATTGGCTTGGTCTTATATAGGGTGAAAAACTTGGGGAAGAAGGGAGTTTCCTTGTGCAATTAAAATCCCTTTAATGCGCTGCCTCGGGTTCTCGGACGGCCGTCCCACAATTTGAACTAAAACTCGGACGGCCGTCCGAGTTTTGAATCTTCATATTTTGGTTTTTTCACTTTTGGCCCATATTTTCTCCAAAATTGCAGTTTTGATCCCATACTTTTCCAATTCTTCAATTTGTACCTAAAATACAATAAATCAACTTTTTAAGCACCAATTATCGTTAAAACACACCAAAAGCTCAAATAAATAGGTACGATAAAGTGTAAAAATATACACTTAACAGGTACTAGTCAAATGAGCACGTAGTCTTTTTCTCGCTTAACTATTTATTCTTCACGTGCACAATTAAAATTCTTGAATTCAATGAGAATTCATTATCCTTTATGTTTTACAACAAACTTTATATTAACCGCTCACGGAGAAAAAAAAAACCATATCCACTTTTAAGTTAGTGAAGCCACACTAACTAAAGTCCTATAACTGAAAATGAGATTACACTATTACTTAATGTGTTCATATATGTTCATTTTCTTTATGTATTATTGAAACAAGATATGTCATAATCTAATTTGTTTCAACTTTATAGTTTCAAAATAAAACGTATTCATAATATCTTTAAGGAACCTTCTAGTGTTGCGCCATAAGGTTCAATAATATCTTTAAGGAACCTTCTAGTGTTTGCGCCTAATTGAACCTTATGCCCCCGAAAAAAATATTTAAGATGGTGCACCTAATGATCTTAAGCTTTAAAATTAGAACGTTCATATACTCTAGGTTCTTCTATTATTCTATCCAAAATAAAAAGTCAAGATCTATGCACCATAATAAACAATAATAATAAAAATATTTGTGCAATTAAGCACAAAAGTGTTATAGGCAGATAATGTGTAAGCAGATAAATAAATTAAAATAGAGATCGAAAATAAAATCAATATATTATAATCCAAAGTTTGACTTTGAAACTTTAAATAATTATGGAATACATCTCAAGATGCCTAGCACAACATTAATATCAAGCCGAGAGACAATAATATTAACTGTAAGTGACACTCTTGTTGTAGTAATCAAACATTGATCAAGGGATGCAACTATTATTCACATGGATCCCAACAACCATCACATATTTATTACCACAGATGCATATGTGGTTCGACCAAATATCAACCTACCGAGGGGTATAGTTAAATATTCGCATGAATTCACATACACACAAACATCGTGACATTGTTAATAAGCTAACTTATGCAATGAGGTCACAAGGGTGGCTTCATGCTTCAATAAGTTCTTTTAAATGTCGGACAAATTTAATAACAAGTCATTAGATGTACCCAAAAAATTATTCGGAAATTTAAAGTCATTGTTGAACGCTAAAGGCTCTAACGACATCTCCTGAGCACTAACAGTCTGTATTCAACACTAGGTTGCCCCAGTATATTGTTTTCGAATCAAACTCACTAATATGGTTATTCATAAAAATGAGTATGGATTGAAAACATTAAATCCATCTTTATTTTGAATTTAACCTAAAGATGATGTGGGACTCACAATTCAATCTTATTTAGATTTAGCGGCCAGATATATATTAACCAATAAATCTAACTTTATATGGATTAGAACTAAATTAATAACTCGATTTAGACTTATAATCAAAGTCTCGGGTCAAATACCAAATGAGTCAAGCCTTGTTTGGTTAATAATAACCACTATTTATATTTTGGCTCGTTAATATTTAAATTATAATGGATCAGAAGTTTATTGAATTAAAAATTAATTCGTATCCTTAAACCAACTCATTATTAAATCCTTTAAACCAAATAAGGCATGGACCTTAAAATCTGAAAATTCCCCCATTAAGGCTTATAAGACCGAATTTGAAATTTCAAATGAATTTCACTTTATTCACCGAACAAAACCTTAAAATTCCTCCATCCCAATGGACCCTGAAGTGAATTTAAAAGAATTCACATATTTGTTCGATCCATCAAAATAATTGAATTCAAAATCGCCCCAAAATCTTAATAAGAAACTTAATTTGAGTTCTCATTCCTTTAAAATGGCCCTTACCCCAAATCCAAAAAAAAATCTTAGAACTTGAAGGACTGAAATATAATTTGAGAAAATCCATATATTTAAATTTCAGTTTAGTCCATTAAAACCATTAAATTTTTAAGGGTAAATTACAACCACCCCGCCGTCACCACCTAAATCTCCTTTAGACTAGCCAATCAACACCCAGTCCACCACCGTCGCCGGAAAAGACCAAATTTCGGCTCATGTCTACGCGGCAGAGTCCACCGCCAGCGATCGAATATGCTTCCTTCGGCGAATCGCGCCGCCTGAAATTGCGAAAAACATGGCACGAATCCTTCTATCTGCCGCCGGAGTTGCGAGGACGATGGTCGCCGGATTTACCCTAGTCGTCACCGAAGAGCCATCAACTCCTTAGCTGAATCGCGACGGCATGTTGACTGAATTTGGGGTTGACTGGTGGTGGTCGGAGGTGGATGGTGGATCCTTAGGGGTGGCTCAGCCGGGAAGACCTACACAGCTGCCACCATGCATGTTTCGCCGGAACGGAACAGTACATTGTCGTGGACACTGCCGTTCCAGTTCCTTTGCAACGTCGCGGTTGCATTGCGGCCAGAACGGACACATTTTAATTAAATTAAAAAAATGCAATATATTTCAAATATGTATTTAATAACAATATTACAATTCAATAATATGCAAAATATTATTACAATTTCAAAAATAAATATTACAAAGAATATTATGAAAATACAAGCAATATTAATACCAAGTAGAATACCGAGCTGGAATTATGTATGATATAATTGAAGAGTGAGGCCAATAATCTGTGATTTAGGGAAATATCCATTTAATTTCTAACGTGGCCACCACCATCATATCATTTCTTTTTTTTCTTAGTCAAATTTGTTTTTTTGTTTCAAATTCTTTTTTTCCGTTCCGGCCATGTCGGAGTCGTTCCGTGACTCCGTCTCGCCCATCCCACCGATTCCTCGGCTCTTTTTCCGATGAATCACGATGAAAACACCGTTTTGGTTACGGATTCCGGAACAGAGGTCACCGTTCCCGTTCCGACGCCGTTCCGGCGAACCATGGCTGCCACCCTCACCATCGATTGAATTTCAGATTTGATTCCTTCAATCTTAATTATTAATCTTAATTCAGTTTGTGAGGATTAACTGAACCGTAAAACCTTACATCCAAAACGGAATCAATCAATAACAATAGAGCAATTTCAAATAATTGAATTGTATATCAGATTCGGATTCCCATAAAGAGATAAAGAATCAGATATGCAATCCAGAAATTTAAACGTATTTCAGATTTAATACTAGCCCTAATTTCAGATTCAATGTCTGACCAAAATTCTTACATCTTAATTCAGGATTATATAACACAATTATGGATTCAGATTTCGATAACAATTTACATATTCAAATCCATGAAATCATATCTCATATAACACCTAAATCCCCGATGATTCAATACATGGTGGCTCTGATACCACTTGCTAGATATTTATCGTACATATATACATACTAATTCCAATAACCAACATGCTTGAATCAACGAGAATTAAACCTAAACATAAACACGGAAGCGTACCTTCGAATCTTTAAGGCAATGTTTGGTAGTGTTTTTATTTTGTTTTCATTGATTCCCCAAAACAAAATTATATTTATTACACTTTTCAAATCTTTTTCTCAAAACAATCTCAAAAGTTTCTCTCTCCTTCAAACATGATGTAAGTGCTACAATAAAATGATTTGACTGCTACAGTAAAAAATGTCTTTACTAAATAACAAATAAATATCACTTCATCTTTCAAATTTTTTCTTCTAAAATACCTCTTTCTAACACTTTTAAACATGATGTGACTGCTACAGTGTATTTTGTCTCCTTCCAAAATATAAACAGACATTACTTTCATTCTCAAATTCTTCCCCCAAAACATATTTCCTCAAAATGAAATCAAAATAAGTTCCAAAACGCTTCCAAACATTGCCTAAATCTCCACTGGATTCTGGACAGGTCTTCCAAAGAATCTGCAGTACCTTAATTATCCCTCTAACATTGGATTTTAGAAGAGGCGGGATGGTTACGTTTCTTGGGACCATGAACCTTTATATAACTGTAGAGTCCGGTTATATCACCACCGTGATTCAGCCCCATCAATAAATCACAATTAAACCATAATTGTCTCTACACATTAGACCCATAATTATAGTTTAATACTCATACGTCCAATCCAATTAATTTGGACTTTCTTTTAGATAGCCATACACATTTTATGAGCTTACATAATTATATTGAAATAATTCCAATAGTTTAGTGAGATATATAAGTGGAGGAGTAAACTTTCGATACAAATAATAAAAATAGAAAAATAAAATATAAAAATAAGTAAAGAAATGTTTTGTTTTGACATTAATATAAATATTAAAATAGATACTTCCCAGAAAAAAAATTCAAATACAATCATATATGTTGTGCTCTACGCCTTCGGTGAGTATAAAACGTATAAAAATAAATGTCTATTTGACACGCCTGCAAAGGGTGAGCCCATCTCCGATAGAAAGCTGGGCGAGTTCAATACGAGAATCAGCAGCTAAGAAAGTGTTCAATTGCATAATGTCGGTTCTAACCCTCCTCAGATATTCCGCCATCTCATCGTCATCGGACGCGGCTACAGTTCCCGACCACAATGTGTTGTCGTAGGCGATTATTCCCCCAACCCTAACCAGTTTCAATAGCTGTTCGTGGTAGTGGATATAGTTCTGCTTGTCCGCGTCGACAAATGCAAAATCGAATGTTCCTTCTTCACCCTAAAAATTAAAAATACGGCAAATTAAATAATTAATCATCATAAATGAATTTATAGAAAGAAAAAAAAAAGGTAGGAGGAGAAAATAATTACATTGGCCTTGAGTTGTTCCATAACTTTGAAGGCATCAGATTGAATGAACTGAATCTTGTGTGCCATGTTTGCCTTTTGTATAAATGGCAATCCAGTTTCGTATGCTTCTCTGTCTGGGTCAATTGCGATTATCTACGCGAAACAAACTAAAAATTAGTCACAATTTTTTTTAATTATTATTTTTGGTCAAATTACGATTATCCCCGGTCCCGAGATAAAGCCAAATTACGAAAACCCTCCTCAATTATGTATTTTCTTATGAAAAACTTCTCATTCAGTAGCTAAATTTAACACCCTAAGAGTGAATGTGTAAGACAATACATAGTTGAGAGTAGAGGTTGTAATTACCCAAACATGAGGAGTATTTTCGTAATATGACTTTACCTTAGGGGGCGGCCGTAATTTCCCCTTTTTTAAAATTTAATTTACTTACCCTGCCATCATCAGGAAGGGCAAGAGCAGTGGTGAGGAGAGAGTAGCCAGTGAAAACTCCAACTTCAATTGTTTTCTTAGCATTCATCATTTTCAAGAACAATGAAATGAACTGTCCCTCGTCAGCAGTTACATTCATCATACTCCTGTAATAATAATTATAATAATAAATTAAATATATTAACTAATAATAAGAAAAAATAAATAAACATAGTAGATTCGAAAAAATGTATATTATCGTACCACCACTGATACTTGTCGACGGTAGCCATTCGTAGTTCTTTGAGTTGCTCATGTTCTCTAGGGTATGCACTTGTTTCCAATATATACTGCAAATTCCAATAATATTAATACTATTAAAACAAATATAAATAATAATGAGGTAAACAATTTTGAATCAATATATATATTATATATTTAATTACCTGGGCGAGTGCATCACTTTGCAGAATAGTCCCTGTAAACTTATCCTTCATTTTCGAGAAAATTGAGGGGGGAAAAAGTAAAGAAACAATTTAGTTTGATGAACTAAGTGATGATGAAATGTATTTTTTTTTGGCTTGAAACTTAGGAAAGTGTAAACTCCAATTTATAAGGCTAGTTCTTTTTGGAGAGTCAACGCGCTTAACGCCTCAATTGACCCAATCAATCAATTTGATTCCATCCCCCACTCTCAAACAACCCCTCTCAATCATATCTATTTATTATTATTTTATTAAAAAAAAAAAAAAAAAGGACAAAATGCACTTCATCTCCTACAAATTTCTCGTTTTCGCATTTTTCCCCTCTGAAAATTACATATAAAAGGGCAGTGTGCAACAAAAATAATCAAATGCCGATGAATAATCCATCGAAATTTTGCTATTTGGGTAATGTGCAACAAGAATAACATTTTTAGGGGACATTCACTTTTCAATATTTTAGAGGGTAAAGTGCGAAAATTAGAATTTTTAGGGGCTAATGTGCAATTTACCCTAAAAAAAATTACTAATATGTTGGTATATTTTTTTGTTTCCCAAAGTTTGGTATAATTTGTTGGTTAGTCGTGCAAATTGTCCATCGATTAATTGGAATTAATTTAATTTAATTTGTTGGTTAGCTGAGATCAACTCAATCAAATAGGATGTTAAATGGTAAAACTTATTTTTTATATTCCAGAACTCTAATTTTCATTTGTAATGGAGGGATCACATTGATAGTTATTTTTATATTCAGTTTTCGAGATGTGAAAATGCATCCTGCAGTGAAAAGATGTATCAATAAATTAACTACTCAAATAACCTATCATGAATTGACATATGTTGATTTTAAATATATTTATTCTTATATTTAAAATTTGATAATCTATTTAATGATTGTGGTTGGTGTAAATGGGTATAAAAATAATAAAACTAGATTCATATTAATATTTGATGATTCAGTTTAGTGTTTTCGTTCAACTAGTGATTTCAATTTTTTTTATGAGAGTTCGATTATGACATCTTTTGTGTGTCATGTGCGGTGCACATATTATTTTTCGTCCATACTAACTGGACAAATGGATGGAGGGACAAAAACAACATAAAAGTGGCATGTTTAGAGACGTAAATTGTAACTTATCTTTGTTTATGGACGAAAATCAAATCAGTGACAAAGTATAGTGACGAAATAATTATCCCAAATTGTTGTTACTGAGGTACTGTAATTAAATATTACTATATATTTTTTATTATATTTGTTATTGTTATGTATTATATGCATTATTTCTAAAATGCTATCACGTGCATCGCACCGGAAAAATACTAGTTATATAAATAAATTATTTTTACTCTTTGCAATTGGGAAGAAAAATTTGGTTCAATCATATGTTAGGAGGTTATTTATAATCTACCCGCAAGGGGTGACCTAGCAGTTGGAGCAAGTGAGTGTGCGTTAATTGACCAAATCCAAATCTCATGATCAACGGTTGCTAGGTAGAACCTTGTCACACATGGTTAGCCCAGTGTGATTTACATTTGTCGTATGGTTTGCAAGCTATTATACGAGAAAATAAGTTTATCCCAGTAAATTTATATAGTTAACATCAGATTTGTTGATTACACTAGTAGAAAATTTGCTTATTACTACGAATTTGTTTCCTACGGTGAAAACCTGTAATAAAATGTATTTTTTACTACGGAACAATTTTAAAGTCGTAGTAAATACTAGGATTTACCGTAGCAAAAAAGAATTTGGTACGGTCGTTTACTGTAGTAAAGCTTTTGTCACGCCCGTATATGCTATGAGATAAATTCGTAGCAAATGCGTAGCAAAAACCTTTTTACTACGAATTTGATACATTTTACTAGATTGACCGTAATAAAAAGTTATTTTTAGAAAATTGCTCCAACTTTCACAATTGATAACTATACAAATGACAGGTAAATACAGAATTTGGAGATAAATCAAACTACTTTGTGAGATGTCAAATGATGTATGAATATTAAAAAGGCAAGAACTCGTCGGATAGCTGACAAATAAAAGGAATAATGCGAATTATTCAAAAAATTAATTTGTTCAAAGTTTGGGGCTTGAAAAAGTTGGTGCAAAGGTCAACATGTTTTTATTGGGGGGAAGAAGTCAAAGTCTGTCTTGTTCCCATTCTTTTCTTTTTTTCTTTTTTTTTTTCCTTTTTTTTGACAAGTTCAAACTTTTTTAATCATTTTATCTACGAATAGTGGTCAAATTGGCGTATTACCAAATCATGCTTCTATTGCTACAGCTGTAGATATAGGGATTTTGAGAATACGCCTTAAAGACCAATGGTTAACGATGACTCTCATCTGAAAAACCGTTTATTTAATTCCTCTTTTTCTACGAACTTCGGGGAATCCCTTGTACCGCATTCCTAGTCATTAATCAAATTATTATAATAGAGGTGGTCTAACAATAGTACTATGCCTATGTTTTATATGTAGGTATTGGATTTGTTTTAAATGTAGGAATCCACGGCCAATCATGTAGCTGCACCGCATTAACATACATTTTCGTTAATATCTGATACGATCTCTTGTGTATCATAAATATTTCCTACGAACGTAAGATCTATTCTTTAATTTTTCTCTCTGCATAATAAAACCCTAGCACAATACGACTATTTAAAGAGAATAAAACCCTAGAATCCTAATCTAACTAGGAAAGATAATTACCTAAACTAATAAAATACTTAATATCTATCCTATAATCATTAAGCCTACGGCTCTAACTAAATTAATACTTAAATAATATATATTAAATAATTAAATAATAACTAATGAATAAATATACAATATATTAAATATATATCGTATCAAACTACCCCTCTTGAAATGAACCTTGTCCTCAAGGTTCGAGTTAATTTGATCCCTCTCCTTTGCGCTTCCACCTATGTTTGACTTCATTGACTTGCTTCCCGACTGACTCCGAAAAACACGATGAACGACCGAGCTTTTTAATACATTGTTCATGCTGATCCAACGAAATTCCAAAGGCTACTTTAGCGAAAATATTCAATCTTTTTCCCGATAAATAAACTTTTTCAATCGTCTTTGTAGATTTTGTCTCCTCCAAACTGACCATCGGTTCTTCGTCTCCTTTCTTTTGAACACCATGGAAATCTCCCAATATCCATAGTAACTCTTCGCTCTCCTCTCTGGTTAATTTCTCGTCTTCGTCCCACTTTATCTCGGTTGACTCCGATTCTTCTTCTTTCGGCTCTTCGTCCCACTTCATCTCAGTTGAATCCGATTCCTCTTCTTCTGGCGAACTCACAAAAAATTGGGGTTCTTCGAAAAAGTCATCGTCGTCCTCTTCCTCTTCCTCCGGCGATAGGCTCGGCAGCGGCGGCGGCGGTGGCTCTTTGAAAAAATCATCATCGTCCTCTTCCTCTTCCTCCGGCGATAGGCTCGGCAGCGGCAGCGGCGGTGGCGTTGGCGGTAATGGGCGGCGGTCCCTTCGACTTTTGTGTTGGTGTTGACGTCGTCTGTGACTTTGTTCGAGCAATTTCTGAAAATCAATCCGTAATCTCTCTACGGATTTCTCCAATCGCTCTAACCGTCTTGTTTTGGACATCATGATTTTCACAAAGTTTTGATGTGATCTCAACTTTGCTCCAGCTTAGCTTTGATATAATCTCTGCTTTGCTAACGAAGCGTTGGTGTTATCGCAACTTCGCTCTGATACCAATTGATACGATCTCTTGTGTATCATAAATATTTCCTACGAACGTAAGATCTATTCTTTAATTTTTCTCTGCATAATAAAACCCTAGCACAATACGACTATTTAAAGAGAATAAAACCCTAGAATCCTAATCTAACTAGGAAAGATAATTACCTAAACTAATAAAATACTTAATATCTATCCTATAATCATTAAGCCTACGGCTCTAACTAAATTAATACTTAAATAATATATATTAAATAATTAAATAATAACTAATGAATAAATATACGATATATTAAATATATATCGTATCAATATCTTACAAATCGTACGAGAGATGTAAATCAAACTTGGCTAATCATGTGTGAGCATGTGCCAACGGTCGCTTGGTCGAGATTGTCACACATGGTTAGTCTAGTATGATTTATATATCTTGTATGATTTACTAGCTATCATACGAGAGTGTAGATTTTGACCTAATGCACTTATATGATTGGCTGCGAGTTCCTCATTACCAGAAAAATAAAATAATAAGAGACTGATTTTCAAATAAACAATAATTATAGTATTATCTTCACCTACCGCTAGTTGAAATCTTTTTATTTCTCTTAGAAAGCTTCTAATTTATTGATAATATAATTACTTAATTAATTAATTACTGATTATGATTTTTTGACTTTTCATTTATTAATTAAAATATATTTTATGAGAGGACGAAAAAGGAGGTTTTTTATAAAAAGAAGAAACTTGCACCCACAATGTGCACTAATCTTCATTTCGTGCAATAGTTATTTCCGAACAATGGCCAACTTCCTTCCTCGCCGAATCTAATGGGTGATATCTGAATTTATTTTGAATAAATAATTTCCAATCTAACTATTTTTAAATAAAGATTCCGAATTATCACCAAATTTATTGGTCAAATTACATTTTTTGTGTTTTCACAAAGCAAGTAAAGATCCGTTACACGATAAGGACCTCCCTAAGTAAGTGACTCTTATTTAACGTTGACTCCTCCCTAGATCACTATTTAGGCCTCGTTTGGTTGGTAATATCAACCATACTTAACTAGATAATTAAATTTTGTTTGATGTTTGGTATCCCTAATAACTTCACGGGTCGACCCGTAAATATTATTTTATCATGCATTATCTTGTCTTTTAGGCATGTTTTTTATTGGATCATCGAAGGTCCAATAATATAATTGAGTTTTTTCAGATTGTTTATCTTGACTAATCTTATCTTGACAACCAAACGACGTCTTAATATTCCTATGACATGAGAATCCCTCCATAGTGCCTAAACCATATCGTCTTTATCTGCCAAAATCACGAGAACGTGTCTGGGATTAGTCAAACTTACCACCGGCTCGTTAATCACTAAGTTTCCACTGTGCCATGATGGCAGTTTTGATATCATGTATACTTGGACGACCGCTAGAAAATTTCAATATTAAAGCGTTATCGAATTGCTTCGTAGTCTGATCAATTTCCAACATGGAGTACATATGCTGATATGCCACTAGTAGAAAAATAGTTTTTTACTACTAATTTT